GTCTGGCTTAAGTTAGTAAGAACTGGCCTTGTAGGAATCAAGAGATAATTCAGAGCTATAAGAAGTATTCAAGGTGTCATGAATTACTGGTGTCTTAGGGAAAGACGGATTGAATCACTGAAGAAATATCTTGTAACAGTTGTCTTAGAGAACAAATAATACTGTTTCAGGTTTTCTACTGTTTACATACTGTTTCATCATGTTAAATTTACAGGTCCCACATCATGTGGAAGAGAGAATTACAGAGGTCCTTCATGCGGAACTTCATGGTCTTCCTGGAGGTGTGACCATATGTCAGGAAAACATGATGTTTATGCAAGTAAGAATAGGTAACGGAAAAATGGAAAACTATATTATTGTTGTTTTAATGATGATATTCACATAGGAAAATGGAACATTTTAAGGTAAACAATTCAGTGGCATTTATTACATGCTGTGTTTTGCAACTATGTCTGTCTAGTTCCAAAACTTTTTCATAGCTCCAGACTACAATTCCCTTACCAGTTAAGCAGTCCCTTTCATTTTGTGTTTTCCCTCAGCTGCTAATAACCACCAGTCTGTTTTGCTTGTGCGCTGACCTGTTCTGCATACTTCATGTTAATGTGCTTAATCAAACGCTACTCGACTTTTACATCTGTTTTCTTTCTGCCTGCTGTCCTGAAGTTTCATTCACATCATAGCACTTCGCTTTTTACACAAGCTGTTAACCCTTTCTTTTGTTTGGGTGTTTCCTCCACACTGCTTTTATGCACAGGTTTGTTTGGGTACAGTTATTCAATTCTGGGTATGTATGAGTGAACATTCTTGATCCTAATGTTAAGTTTTTTTTTTTTCTTGAAGCCCCACACCATATCTTCATAGTACCGTAATCATTTTCCAATCCAACATCAGGGTTCCAGTTTATCTGCATCCTCTCATGGACTTCATATTTCTAGCATTTTAAAATGTATAGCCATTTTAGTATGGTTGAAGTATGGTATCTCACTTGGGTTTGAAATGCATTTTTGAAATGACACTGTCAGATGAATGATTTTTTTTTTGCTTGTTTGTTTGTTTTTTTTAATGTAGTGATGATGTTGGCTACAGAAGGCATGGTGGTAGAGATCATTCTCAACATCATAGTAGAAGGTCTAACAGAGCTTCATACAGGACTTATAGTAAGACTCCAAGTTTGATTTTTAAACTACAGAATTATATTGAATAGACCAGATTTTTTAAAAGGGAAAGTATAAAGGAAAAATGTAACATGTTTAAATACTGAGAGTTTTGAACAGTAGAAAGCTTAGGGAATTGTACGAAGCTTAAAACCTCCGTTAATTATCAGAAAATGTGCTTAGTGTTTAATTCAGAATAAAATTCCTTAAGCTTGAAAATACTACTCTTATGCCTCTTTTAAATAAAGCCTTTTGATCAATGCAGAAATAAGTACTATCCTGTCAATGAAGACAGGTGAATGCAAACATTTCCAAATAGTACTTTATCTGATTCATGCTTCAGTGATGCCAGTAAAAATGTTTAAATGTGTTTCACCATAAGTTCTATGATTTTATTAACCCTGCAGGGACCTCTCATGGTTCAGCACCCGCACAAAGGCCTTGGAAGACTTATGGTGGAAGCAGTTGCCCTCATCATAACAATACACGAGATAGGTATTGCAGAAGTCGGGAGAGATACTCAAGGAGCCATGGTGATCTCTCTTCCAGTGATGGTGAGCATTGTGGCAGAAAAGAACCAATGTGCCCACCCTCTATGGAGAGAGTGAACCGTGCTTCTTGTGAAGCACATGGTAGCTCAAGATACCGGACATTTACAGGAGATGATGGGGGAAGGCGATGGGAAAAAGGAGACTGAAGGTGATACTAAAAATCATCATTATTGCATACCAAACCTTGCTGTTGAATGGAAAATCAGTATGTGGTTTCTGCATTATGACCTGAGTACCACTATAAGAAATAGGTTGTTTTTGGTGAGAGAGGGAGATACTCACTTCCTCCATGAATGTTTTTGAGGTATTAAGATAAAAACTTATTTTTTGAAAGTAATTTTACAACAGTTAGTGCTAATTGAATTGAAAACTATTCTGTTTTGATGTAATGTCTGTTTAAAAATTTTTCAGAATAAAATTTTACATGTAATATCAAATGCCTGATTTCATTGCTACACATGTTTAAAAGGAAATCATGGAGGAGAGTCCACTGTGGTGTTGACAATTTTCTTCATTTGTTTGCACCTAAGTTGATACACAAATAGGCATCTCTTACATCTCCATTGGAACCTGTACACGTTTCCTACCTGGGCTGTGTTTCTTTAGTTTATGCCTGTATTCCCACCACTTTGGGAGGCCTGTGCAGGTGGACCTAAACAAGTCAGCAGATTGAAACCATTCTCGCTTACAGAGTGAAAGCCAGTCCCTAATAAAAATACAGAAAATTAGCCAGGTGTGGTGGCACATGGCTTTAGCCGAAGCTACTCTGGAGGCTGAGTCAGGAGAATTGCTTGAACCCAGGAGGCAGCCGTTGCATTGAGCTAGATTGCACTACTGCACTCCAGCCTGGGTGACAGAGTGAGAGTGTGTCTCAAAAAAAAAAAAAAGTAGCAATTTTGATCAGGCGAGGTGGCTCACTGCTGTAATCCCAACACACTGGAGAGATCAAAAGGTTAATTTTCAGAAAGCTTCAGAAAGACTGCTGAACTAAAATCAAACTAAAAGATTTGTTGATAAAGGTATATTAAAGGATAAAGGAAATCATTAGATATGTTTGTTGCTAAACTTGATGGTACCCAGAACATTCTTCTTGTAGCATCCTTTGACTAAAGGGGGCAATGGTGATGAGAAAATATTTTCCACCTTAATCAAAAGTGAACCAGCTAAATTGCCTAACTATGATGCTTAATGACATTAATTTTTCCTAAATAGTGGAAAATAAATTTCTTCCATGAACTAATATTAATTCTTTCTTGAAATGTTTGACAATGGTTGTAAGTCGGTGTTTAGCAATATGTTCTCACAAATTATTTTTATCTTATTTATTTCTGTATGTATTTATTTTGTGATGGAGACTAGCCTTGTCATCTAACTAGGGTGCAGTGGCTTGAACTTAGTTCATTGCAACCTCCACCTATTGGGTTCAAGCTATTTTTCTTCCTCGACATCTTTAGTAAGTGGGATTTCAGGTGTCTACCTGCACAGCTGGCTAAAATTTTGTAATTTTTGTACAGACAGCATTTCACCCTCTTGGCCAAGCTGGTCTTCAAATCAGGATCCACCCTCTTCTGCCTCCCAAAGTGCTATTAATACAGGCATAAGCCACCATGCACAGCATATCAGATTTCCACTATGCTCAGCCTATCACATTTAATTTAATATGCCTAGGAATGCTTTAAAAGTCATCCCTCAGGGACAGTTAAGTGTATAATACTTCAGCATAATGATTCAGAGTGGAGATTGCTTAAAGGTTTAAAAAATTATCTAGTAATCAAAAAAAAAATGGGTGGTGGAGAAATCCAATGATGCTATCAGATAAAAAGATTTGGATCGAAGTAAGTAAACCAACTAATTTACTTGATCATACAACCTAAAGTAATGGAATATATAAAGATTAAAGATCTAATTAATGGCTTAATATATAAAGTTATAAATAACTACTAAAATATGTAAGAATGCTTACCTGAGTTTTCTTTAGTTTTCCATTGAAACAGAACTTTTATAATCCATGGTGCTTAGAAGTAACAAATTAATCTGCAGAAGGAAGTATTTACATGAGAAAATTTTGACAAGATTTGTTTTTTAGGGTAAAAATGTGCAAATAAGTTTTGAAAAGAAAAGTTACCAACTTTGGCTTTTGGGTGGGTTATTCATGTTTAGATGTTGCATTTTCATTGACATATAAGGTAGAATTCTGAAGATTAAATAAAAAGATAAAACTCACTAGTCTTGTGTGTCTTCACAGTGGCAATTCAAGATATAGTGTCTGTCCAGGTGTGATAACTCAGGCCTTTTATCCCAGCATTTTGCAAGGCTGAGACAGGCATTGCGCTTCACCTGAGGCACTTGAGACAAAGGCTGGGCAACATGGATAAATAGAGTCTCTATGAAATAGCCAAAAATGGCTGCATTTAATTGTGCATGAGTGTACTTTCTGCTTCTTGGGATGCTGAGGTTGGAGGATAGCTTAGGGATATGAGAGCCAGTCTGCAGTAAGCTTGCTAGCTCCCTCCACTGTACATTGTTTTTGGAGTCAAAGTGAGACACGGTTTTTTTTAAAAAGGCGTCTATGATACTCTGACCCTGCGAGTATTTTTCCTAAATTATCTCCATGTGGAATTTGATCATAAGAATTTAATAGAATAGGAAACAGAAAATAATCTGTGAGATACGATCTCAGCTCACTGCAACCTCTGCCTCCCGGGTTCAAGGGATTCTCCTGCCTCAGCCTGTGAAGTAGCTTGAATTATGAGGACCCACCACTACGGCCGGCTAATTTTTGTATTTTTAGTAGAGACATGTTTTCACCATGTTGGTCAGCCTGGTCTCAAACTCCTGACCTCAGGTGATCCACCCACCTCAGCCTCCCCGAGGGCTGGGATTACAAGAGTGAGCCAACACACCTGGCATCTAATGTTTGTATTTTAGTAGAGTCAGGGTTTCTCCATGGGGGCCAGGCTGGCCTCGAACTCCTGATCTCAAGTAATCCACCTGCCTCGGCCTCCCAACCTGCTGGGACTACAGGCGTCAACCACCTCGCACGGACACATTTCCAAGTTTTCTTTCAGATGCACCACGTAAAGAAGTCATCATGTGGCCTGATACCTTCACATGGAAGGCAGCAGTAAGTGTAAATTATACGGACAGGATTTTCTGCACTTCAACATATCTGGAAGTTGAAAGGAAGAGATAAATGGACCTTTCAAAGCTGACTCTCCAAGAATGTGTAACACCTCTCCAGTGGGGTTTGCTTCTCAAAGTGGTATTTGCTTTAAGAAGCAGAGCCTGCTGATATTACAAAATAATATGAAGTTCTAGCCAGATGCAGTGGCTGGTGCCTGAAATTCCAGCACTTTTGGGGGCCAAGACAGACAGATCTCCTGAAGGCAGGAGTTCGAGAGAAGCCTAAGCAATATAGCAAGACCCACCATTCTTAAAAAAAAAGAAAAAAAAAATTAAACCTAGTCTCTAATCCTAGTACCTATGGAACTACATACCTGTAGTCCCAGCTATTCAGAAGGCTGTGGCAAGAAAATTGCTTCATCCCAGGAGTCTGAGGCTGCAATGAAGCCTCAGATCACACCAATGCACTTCCACCTGGGTGAGAGTCAGAACCTGTCTCCAAAATTAAATAATTAAATACAATTACATGAAAAAAAAAAAAAAAACTCACTGAGTAGCTGGGATTGTATGCACATGGCACCATGCATGGCTAAGTTTGTATTTTTAGTAGAGGTATGGTTTCACCATGATGGCCAGGCTGATCTCTAATTGCAGGCCTCAGGTGATCCTCCGTCCTCAGCCTCCCAAAGTGCTGGGATTACAGGCATGAGCCACAGTGCCTGGCCTTGCACCTAGTTTTTTTTCTACCTCCTTTAACTTTTATGCTTGCAAACTCTGAAGTCTGTGAGTCCCTTTCCTCTGTACAGAAAATGTCCCTCTTACCAGCCTTTTCCAAAAAGCTGTCTCTATTTACTAGAAACCTGCTGAATTAGACTTTGAGGTTGTAAGAAAATAATTACGGCCTCCTTTGTTTTTTAAATGTATTATACACTGTAGCTATGGCAATAGGAGATAACTATAAAATACCTCCTTTGGTGATTAAGAGAAAATTTAATGCATGAGACCAGAAGAGATCTCTCAGTTTCCAAGGAAATAAGGGAAGCACGGGAATATGAAACAGATATTGCTAATATTGTGACAGGTTTTGTAACAGCTCAGGGAAGGAGGAAAATGATAATCCCAGTGTAATACAGTCTAGCGTACTGGCACCGAAAACACGTTATTTACCAACTGCCATTCTGTTTCTAAACATCATACTGCCTGTAACTTAATGTATACTAAATTTAAAATAATTTTATTACAAACGTAAGGTACTATGTGGTAAGAAAGAAATGACTTTGTGTTAGGAGAGTGTGTCTTAATGTTAGTCCCATTCATGCATTTAAATTGTACTTTAAGTTCTGGGGTACATGTGCAGATCTTGCAGGATTGTTGCATAGGTGCACATGCAACACTGTGGTGGTTTTCTGTCTGCATTCCACCATCGTCTACATCAGGCATTTCTCCCAGTGTTATCCCTCCTCAACCTCACCGCCCCCCTCACTCCCCACCAACCAACACACCCCAGTGTGTGAGGCTCCCCTCCCTGTGCACATGTATTTTCACTGTTCAACACCCGCCTATGAGTGAGAACATGTGGTGTTTGGTTTTCTGTTCTTCTGTCAGTTTACTGAGAATGATGGTTTCCAGATTCATCCATGTACCTACAAAGGACACGAAGTCACCGTCTTTTATGGCTGCATAGTATTCCATGGTGTACATGTGCCACATTTTCCCTGTCCCGTCTATCATTGATGGGCACTTGGGTTGGTTCCAGGTCATCACTTTTGCAAACAGGGCTGCAATGAACATACATGTGCACGTATCTTTATAATGGAAAAATTCATGATCCTTTGGGTATATACCCAGTATTGGGATTGTCGGATCAAATGGAATTTCTATTTCTAGATCCTTGAGGAATCGCCGTGCTGTCTTCCACAATGGCTGAACTAATTTACACTTCGACCAACATTGTAAAAGCGTTCCTATTTCTGCACATCCTCTCCAGCATCTGTGGTCTCCTGATTGCTTTACTGAACCTCAT